AAAAATGCCCAAAGGGCTTCTGTGTGATTATACAAGCATCCTAACTTAAGGCTATAATTTGTCATTCGAATAGAGACTTTCTTACTCTTAAGGCTGACTTTCTGTTTAACCTTGCTGGTTAACTGTTATCAGCTTGCACCTGGATTTCCCCGCATAAAACACAGAGGTCGATATATTTTATTCCAATATATTTTGGAATAAAATATATTCTATTCTGTTTTTGTTATCAGATCCTCTTTAATACATGGGAAATTATTCCAGGTACCACAATCTTATTTTAAACAGTTGAAGAGTGTAATCCTATGAACTAATTCAACAATCTTTTCATGACCCAAATACCCATGCACCACAGAGTGTCAAATTTTGTTGTGGGCACCATATATAATATTTAACAGGTAAAACAGAAAATTTTATCTGTTGTTAGCCGATGGCATATTAAACTGTGGCTAATGTAGAACAAATCAAGCCAACCAGTCAGTCTTATGGTGCACAATAGATGCAGCGAGATCATGTACATGCCATATATCCATTGGTTATTTTTTAATTAAATTATGTGCTTTCAACAATTTGTAACTTTTAGAGTTTATACATAATGTTAGGGGCATATGTTATTTTGCTGTTTTTGCAAATTAAAGAACAGAATGTTTCCCCAGCAATAGAAAATTTCCTTGATTCCCCTCAAATCAACTACACTAAAACAGTTTTACCTTTCTCGATGATTGCTGGTGTGTAACAGGATAATTATTGTCAGACAGAATAGCATAATAGCTTATGAAATTATTATACTATATCGCTGGTCCCAGCTCATAATGCTAATTGGCATGTTGGAAGAGCAAAAAGTCCATCTGTTTGGAAGCAGTGACATCATCTGGGCCGCCTTTTATGCTCCATTACATCACATTAAACCATAAACATTAAGACCTGGTCCCAGAGTTATTTTCTCTTTCCCATCCCTTTCTGCTCTTTTGATTTTTATTGTGTTTTTCTTCTTAAAACTAAACCTAGGGACAGGGTCAGTATTGCATTTATTATTCTGAAATTTCCTCTTGAAATCTTTCAGGCTGAAGACCAGACACTGCACATACTTTAACGAATCAATCTAATTAGTTGGCTACTGTTGAAATGTCTGACTGATTAATATTCCTTTGAACTGAAACATTTGCATGAGAGAATGGCTTGAAATGTCATACTTAATAATAATAAGCATGAAGCCAGCCATTCTGGTGTGTACATTGGGCTTCATATGGCTTAGCATTACATGTGAATTGGTTGCAATGGCTTGTTCAACAAACAGTAATTAAACTATACCAGATATGTTATCTCAATCTGAATAAAGGGAGGGAGGGGAGGAAATGATAGCCTCATAAATGGCTCACGGTTAAATTTCTTAATTTGTATTATCTGGTAGATAACTATGAAGTTAGATCATACACACAATTATTATCTAAAAGAATAATCTTCATTGAAATAATCTGACTAATAATCTGACTCCTTAACTTCTGGTTTAGAGAAAACAAAATATATGGCTTTGTTCCATGTAGTGATCCTTTATTCAGTACTCCAAGATGGCTTTTAATAATCATGAAAAAATTTAAAAATGATGAGATGGACAGAAAATATGGATAGCAAAGAGTGAAGTTCAGATGATTTTTCTTTTCCTATCACAGCAATATAGACTTTCTCGGGACATGGAACTGCAATCAGAATAAACATTTTTAAGATCTAAATCATCCTATCCATTTGTTTAACTGTACAATTTAATTGGGGGGTTAGTGAAGCCACGGCAGTTGCTATTGATTTTCTGTCCTATAGTGGTAGCACAATAGCTACATGGCTGTTATTAACTCCTGTTCTATTTTAAGCTACAATAAATCCATTCATTGCATTTGGTTTAATCAATTCAACTCAGTTGACCAATAAATGTTTAGAACTTTTAAAAAAGCAATACCTTCAACAAGCAGTCATGCTTGAGTCACAAATGAGGTTTGATTTAGAATAAATGGAGATCTTTTCAGAAATGGAACAGATAATTGAAGGGAAAACATTGTTTGAAGCAGCAGTATTTTCATTGTTAGTTTCCAGAAAGGTCAAGAAACAGCAATAATACTTGGCATGTGAAATCTAGATGTACTGGATGCTTTCATAAAACTAATTCTGTTGGCAGATTAATACCTTAAGCAATATCTAAAAAACAAAGAATTTATTTTAATTAGAGCTCTTCTTTTGAAGAGATTCATAGACAACCCAGAGTTGAAATGTATTCCCTTTAACTTAAATTTCAAGGAACTGGTGATCAAATTTGAGGATGAAGGACAACATTCACCTATCTTTCCCATTATTTTGCTGTCTTATATTTTTCTGAGTTCTGCTTGAGGAAGCCTCTGGGGGTTCTTTTTGTGATACCTTCAACTATGGTATCCTTCTGGACTATTTGCATAGGCTGGAAACTGGAAGCATTGATTTGCAATGGTTAAACTTTTACATGAAATTGCAGGGAAAAGTTATCTATCAGTTAAGAGTATGGCATCTCCAGCATGTTGATGATATTTAAGTGTATATTGTCAAATTAAGCCTGCCAAAGTCTTGTCCTGATGCCTGAAGGTTCTTTGGCTTCACAATTATTGCTGCATGCATGGGTGAAAGTCATAGCCAGGAGGGCCCCATCTGGAACAGAAGGATCTTGCTACAGTGATTCACACCATTATTACTGCTGGATATAATACTGTGTTACAAAGGGCTGTCCTTGAAATTTACTGAGAAACCACAATAGGTTCAAAATCCAGTGACCTACTTCTCCAGTGACTTCTTTTCTAGTGCTCAGTGCCATGACTATATTACATCTGTATTATTTTCCTTGTATTTCTTATTAGTAAGCTTCCTAGTGCAATTCAGAATGCTGAAAGAGTATGTCCCCATCATAATCTATCTTCATAGGCTTTGTAGGAGAGGCTTTTGTGATCACGAAAATAAAATCCTGAAATCTGACTGTCTGCATTATCTTCAATGAGACCCACTGCACAGCAAAATGTTTGAGAGGCAAAGCGCCTATGACAGAAGCAATCATTTTGCCTGGTTCTGTCTCTATGGGGAAGCTAAACGACGATGGATAGGCTATCTACTGTCTATCAGCCTACCTATGTTTGGATGTTACAGGAGGAAATGATAAGTGTCTATATTTGACTAGTGTATATAAAAAAGTTATAAAATGTAGATCACTATGTAGAGATAAGGGAAAGATAGAGTTAGAAGTGACACCCACCTGGAAAAACAACACGTCCCTGGTGGTTAGGAAGGCTCAACAGAGACTTCATTTCCTTAGAGTCCTGCAGAAAAATCAGGTGGAACAACGGCTGATGACCTCTTTCTGTCGGTCTACTATAGAAAGTATAGGTACATTGGTTCAACAGCT